CGCCGCTGGCGGCCATCGTGGCGCTGAAGAAGCGGCTGGGGCTGCAGCTGTACCTGGACGAGGCGCACAGCGTCGGCGCCATGGGCGCGCGCGGCCGCGGCGTGTGCGAGCTGGCCGGCGTGGACCCGCGCGACGTCGACGTGCTCATGGGCACCTTCACCAAGAGCTTCGGCGCCGCCGGCGGCTACGTCGCAGGTCGGTAGCGTGTCTTCGCTTGATTACTATTTCCAAACGACGTAAAGCCTGGTCCGTGAGCACGTAGAATCCCGTCCAATGACCCCAAGCTGCCCATCCTTGTCGCTCGCACGTAATTATGTTGCTGTCGCGCTCGCTCACTCACTGCGGGCGCGCGTCGCACAGTCGCGACAGCAATATAATTATACGCAAGCGATAAGGATGGGTAGCTTGGGGTCATTGGACGGGATTCTACGTGCTCACGGACCAGGCTTTAGTTAAGAAAAGACTGTCCATTAATGAAGGCTGTCGTTTTAGTGCTCATAAATTGGCGCCACTGTAGAGTAAGGTCACTGTCACTCGTTCGAAGAGAACGAAGAGAGTGGCGCCAACTGGCGAGCGCTGAAGCGGTAGGAGGACTATCGCATTTACACTCATCAGGATGGCGCCACTGTAGAGTAGGGTCGTGTCAATTGCCAGTGGTACCAACTGTCAAGTATAAAAGTAACAGCCTGCATTACGTGATTGGTTTTGGCCATATTAGTGAAGGTGTTTCTTACGGAAAAAAAATCTGTGCCCCTTTTTTCATAGTGACATTAAATGAACACACTGAAAACCAGCGTCGTGGCTTTCCTCACCGGGGGCCACGGCATATGCTGAGTGGGGTCCCATTACGATGGGCATCGCTGTGCGACAGGGTGGCACTGCTTAGTTTACTTGCTCATTCATTGTATGTTTTATGTCACCTCTGTCTTATTTGCTTTTTTTTTTATTTTACCTCTTTTGTCTTTTGTGATTTCCATGGCAATAAATGTTTCTTTCTTTCAAATGTGATTCGCCTCGATTCCCTCCCCCCTTTGAACACCGCACGTAATCACCGCACACCGTATTTCCTATGTGGTGATCGCGGCACATTCCCGCGAGCGTGGCTCTGACGAGCGTCGTTGCGCAGGCTCGGAGAGGCTGGTGCGCGGGCTGCGCGCGCTGGGGCACGCGCACAGCTACGCGCACGCGATGGCGCCGGGCGTGGCGGCGCAGGTGCTGTGGGCGCTGCGCGCGCTGGGCGGCGGGCTGGGCGCGGCGCGCGTGGCGGCGCTGCGCGACAACACGCGCCACTTCCGGCGGCGCCTGCGCGAGCTGGGCGTGGTGGCGTACGGCCACCGGGAGTCGCCCGTGGTGCCCATGCTGGTGTACTCGTTCAGCAAGATGGCGGCCACGGTGGAGCGGCTGACGGCGCGCGGCATCGCCACCGTGGGCGTCGGCTTCCCCGCCACGCCGCTGTCCGAGGCGCGCATCAGGTCAGTGCGCGTTGTGTTTCAAACGTTGCGTTCACTTATCGCTTTATGTGTCATGTTACTTTTTTTGCCACCATTATTTTTGTCGGGTTCGACGCAGACCGTCCCGTTCGCATTTCGTCACGGGTCAATGGAATAATTTTTGAATATGTGACGAAATGCGACTGAGACGGTCTGCGTCAAACTCATATTTGACTACCGTGTTTGTGACGGGACTAGGTTATGCATCATGGCAGAATTATTTTGACTAACTTTGACCTTTAAATAATAAGTTTCATCAGAATCCGTCTTGTAGTTTTTGCGTGAAAGAATAATAAAAATCCATCGATCTCCACTATCTTTACTTTTTTTATTAACACTCGACAAAAAGTTAAACCGAGTCAAAATGTTAAGGTCACAGTGATAAGATAAAGCATAATTTTAATTATAACTCTAATCGATTTATCGTCTTCACTCAGATAATTAGGGATAGGGAAGCATTGAAAAATGATAAAAGTGGTATCTTTCACGCGAACATAAATTATGACATTAATAATATATCAATATCAAAATAATCAGAAAAATACAGTTTCGAATAAACAATATCAGCGAAAAGTATACATAGCCACTCATCGCCAATCAAGCGTGCGATGAGTGGGGAGGTGACTCATGTGTAAGTATAGATTACAAACATTTTTTATCGATGAACAAACAACAGAAAATCTGTTTAATCCCCCAGTAGGGACGAGTTAGCTTTTTAGGTATAATTTGATTTCTCATTACAACCCAATTGAGCCGCGCCCCTGCACTGTTCATACGCGCCGAGTAAAGCCCGCCGCCGCGTCGCCTCCGCGCCATCAAAGCATAATTTTGCCAGCCGGCGGCGGCGGCGTCGTGTGCAGTAAACTCACACTCAGCCCTCTGAACTCGACTGGGTTGTATTGTATTTTCTTTATTTTTTCTAATTCGTCGGCCGTTTGGTGTAGTGGTTCAGAACGGACCACTCTGCCGAGAGGTCCCGGGTTCGATTCCCGGCCGGGCAGGAATTGAAATGATGAATTTTAATTTCTGTGATGGGTCTGGGTGTTTTCTATTTATTAACTAAGTATGTTGTTATCATTGGCAGAAAATAAAAGACTGTGTTGATGAACAGAGGTTTCCTGTATTTCCAATAATTAAAGTACTTAGTTGAAAATTCACACATCGTACATAGCAGTGAAAGCAATGAGCATAGCAATGGCAGGTCCTGTCATAGACCAAAGACCCAATTAGATTTGTAATCTATGNGTAAATAATAAAATAATAAATAATAACACTCGACAAAAATTTAAACCGAGTCAAAATGTTAAGGTCACTGATAAGATAAAGCATAATTTTAATTATAACTCTAATCGATTTATCGTCTTCACTCAGATAATTAGGGATAGGGAAGCATTAAAAAATAATAAAAGTGGTATCTTTCACGCGAACATAATTATGACACTAATAAAATATGTGAACTAGTAAAAATAATCGGAAAAGTACAATAAAACAATAACAGCGAAAAGTACACATACATAGCCACTCATCGCCAATCAAGCGTGCGATGAGTGGGGAGGTGACTCATGTGTAAGTATAGATTACAATCATTTTTTATCAATGAACAAACAACAGAAAATCTGTTTAATCCCCCAGTAGGGACGAGTTAGCTTTTTTAGGTGTAATTTGATTTCTCATTACAACCCAATCGAGCTAACTGCGGACGTCGCTGGATTGCGACTCCCTCGCGCTCACCCGCACATCTCCCGCGCTCGCCACGTCCAAACCAGAGGGCTTAGCGCTCCTGCACACGACGCCGCCACCGCGCCGCCGCCGCGCCGTCGCCGCGCCCCTGCACTGTTCATACGCGCCGAGTAAAGCCCGCCGCCGCGTCGCCTCCGCGCCATCAAAGCATAATTTTGCCAGCCGCGCGGCGGCGGCGTCGTGTGCAGGAGCGCTTAGTGTGAGATTACATCAAACGTCCTCACTGGTGAGCCCGTGAAAAAATGACATTAAATTTATGACGGATTGTATAGCGCCCCTAGCGGGAACTTTCAAAAACTAAAATTTTCATATAATTTTTTTAACGCGCTTTCTAGTGAGGATTGGGTTGTATTGTATTTTCTTTATTTTTTCTAATTCGTCGGTCGTTTGGTGTAGTGGTTCAGAACGGACTACTATGCTGAGTGGTCCCGGGTTCGATTCCCGGCCGGGCCTAAATTGAAATGATGAATTTTAATTTCTGTGACGGGTCTGGGTGTTTTCTATGTAATTAGTATGTATTTAAAATAAAAAGTATTTAAGTATGTTTATATCCGTTGTCTAGTACCCATAGTACAAGTTTTGCTTAGTTCGGGGCTAGCGGCGCAGTGTAAAATGTCCAAGCATATAATTAATTAATTAAATTTATGTTGATATGTGGTTGTGGTGCAGGTTCTGCCTGTCGGCGGGGCACACGCGCGAGCAGCTGGACCGCTGCCTGGCGGCCGTGGACGAGGTGGCGAGCGAGCTGGGCCTGCGCTACGCGCGCGCGCCCGCCTCTTAGCGCCTCCCACCCGGGCGCCGTCCGCACGTACCTCGCTACTATACTTGTTATGTTCAATAAATTATTTTCACACGCTACACGCTCTATTACTTTAGATTAGCTGGCCCGACTGACTTCTTATCCTTGTTTTTTTATTTTTTTTATTTTATTTTCCGGCAGACCACTTTTCCTTATTTGATTTTTTCCAGAAAATTGCTTACTTTAATCTGAAAACAATTGGCAAATCGGTCCAGCCATTCTCGATTTTTACCAACGGATATTACTTTTTTTTACAAACTGGTATGTAATTGATAAAATCTATGTCCATCTCCGAGATTGATCTATTAATTTATATTCCCTCAGAATTATTTGGCCACTCTTACGCCTGGACTATGAAACGAAGCACAATACATTCAAACTATATCACACATTGAAGCCTGAAAGTGATTGAATTTCAGTGAACCAATGTAGATAAGATAAATAAGTGTCACCGATACGTACTTACCTAATAGTCAAGTAAATGTTTATTTTATTATTTCGAATATCAGTAGTTAATAATACACCGAAATATTTTAAAATTAATATTTTTAAAGTAAACAACATGCATTTAAGATCAGTAAATATGAATCTTCTTGACAGATGGTGTTTTTGACCGATTACAGTGACCCGTTTACATCGCCAGATATCAGATACCGTTGATAAGATCTCGTGGGATCTGTATTCATTGTTATTGCATCTTGTATCTGCTTGGTTCTACACTTAAATACTTTTAAATTTTATTATGTATTATCTAGTTACTCAAATGGTTGTGTTTAGTGGTTCGATTTAGAATTGGGTCAGGGTTTAGTAGATAATATTCATTAATCTTAGTTTATCGTTATCATATTTCAGCTTATTTTTTTTGTGCGAAAAAAGGATATACATAATTTAATAAGCAAATAATTTACTCTATTATTTCATGGACTTCTAAGTTACTAACTTAAAATAATCGTGGTACAATCTAAACAAAAGCTATCAAGTGTCAAGGTTCACACGCAAAGATTCGAACGTGCCATAGCGCACCGTCATAGCTAAAATTTGATCAATGATTCAAAATCCATATCGGCGTTTCCTCGTATCGGGCGGAGCTATCTGGCCGATAAGTGATAGCGCGCCGTCCAGCGGCTCGCAGTGACAAGCCGCTAGTGCAAATGAGCGCACCGCTCGCCGCCACCGCCCGCGCCCGCGCCCCCCGCGCCTGATGTGGCTGGGCGCCTGCGCCGCGCTGGCCGCGCTGGCCGCCGCGCGAGCCGTCGAGAACGTCACCGTCGTACGCATGCCGTGAGTACACCATTGGTTTGCCGGTGTTGATGTTGATGGTACCGCCATTAAAAAGTAGACGTAGACGCACTATCATTCCACTTCAAATGTATACTTGAATATCTACAGCTTTAAAGTAGTTGGCATGTTGCGAATCATGTAGAATGTAGAAGTAGTTGCTCATGCTGATGTCAGTAGTAGGAAAATTTGAGTTCGCAAAAACTGATTGCACAATGAAGTGTCTGGTACCCTCTGTTGGTACCTTAGCCGAATGTTTATTGTTGATTTTATGCAACCACTCTTGACGATGTTGTCTGTATGCTAAACGACGTTAGGATCTCTCTTCAGATTGACGATTGTATTTGTAAGAATAACTAAATAAACCCCTAGATATCCAATAAAATCTCACACGGTTGTCAAGTTAAATATGTATTAAAAATCATATCAATGGCAATTTCGTTGTTCAAAACAATAATCAGGTTAGTTAATTATTGTGTGTGGATTTTATTTATTGCTTATCGGCAAATTTTTAATGTTTTGAAATGAATACAATGAACTGTGACCTGTTAGCAATTTACGTAGGTATCTATTATGTTAATCGTATTATAAATTTGATTATGTAGTTCGAGTACTGAAACTCGCATCGTATTTCACCATTTGAAGCTAATATTGTGTAGCGATTAGTTATTTTACAATATGAATTAAGGCATAAACTAAATCAATAGTATTCACACATATTATCGAAACTAAAGCCTGACACTATACCAAAAAGATGTATCCAAACATTTCTACTCTCCCATATACACACAGCACTTGTAACTCCGNTAACTCCGCAGAGTGTCGCTGGAGGAGCTGCACACCATCACCGTCGACGCCAACACAGAGTTTATATTGGATTTTATACCGGTGAGTACAGCGCCAACCAGCAACTTGCAATCTTAGTATTTCCTGTCAATACAGCGGAGTAAATAATAGCATGTATTTACCTGTAGATAAAGATTAACATGCTAAGTTGGGGGCCTGACTTTATCGTCTTGTGTAAACATTAGATAAATGCCAAAATGCGTCTGTAGTTAAGCATAGTAGGTATGTAGATTCGCTATCGAGTGGTGTATACGAAAAACAATTTAATAGATACAATCGGGTCACCACTGGATGATTTCGCCCACACATTTGATAACATTAAACATGTTAAGCATGCAAATGTTGACCTACTAAATAGGTACGTACAAATAGTGATTTAATTGTTTCACAATTTAGATTAAAAATTAATGAATGAAAACAAAACAGTATAGATCGTTTCATCCACGAAGACGTGGCCCACCAATTTTTGGTCGAGGGAAGCGCGGGATGCGGGGAGTTTGATCCGAGCGTCATTATTGTAGTGTGGGTGTGCACTCATGGATAATTTAGTGTGTACCGATAACACTCAAACATTAGCGGAAGAATGGTGGGGCGCGTCTTCGTGGATGAAACGATCTATAACAGTGTTGCAGGCTCTTGGTCAGGTTGCTCATGTTTGTGTCGCTTGCAGAATGCGGAGCAGAGCCGGTGGCCGACGCGGCTGTGGGTGAGTAGCAGCGGCGGCGACATCGCGCGCCCGCTGCTGCTCACCATCCGACAGAAGGCAGGTACGGTTGGGGCATGGTATAGTCGGCTTTCAACCACCATACCAGACCAGAACGAATCTAAATAGTCTTCGTTAATCTTTTCAAATTAGAGTACACAGTTTTATTCAATCAGTCTCAATACTTAACAAGTATAAGAATAAATTCTTTGAGCGAATTGATGAAGAGATGACGGTTGTTTTTGTAGTAGTTCGCGCACTGGACTACCATGTCAGCGGTCGCGGTGGCGAAGTGCAAGTTTTGCTTAGTTTGGAACTGGATAGCGCTTTCCTTCCATTATAATAATATGGCGCACTCAACACTTAGCCAAGCTCGCCGGCTACGCCGCTTGCGCGAGCGGTGGGAGCGGGTGACGAGCTTAGTTTGTTACCCGCAGGCGCCAGCACGTGGCAGCTGCCGCAGCAGGTGCAGGGCCGGCTGCTGTTCCAGGTGGAGCGCACGCTGTGCCCCGACGACAGCGTGCTCAGCAACTCCACGGAATGCGGTAACTCATTCTCTGATCACATACATTGCTATTGAGACAGTTGAAGCTCTATAGCTGAGGCTAGTAAGTGTGTCCCAGCAGTTCCCATATAAGTGATATGCTGGTCTAGTGGATTAGAAATGTTAAAATTATTTCGTCACGCGGATTCATGCTTATCACATTGTCGTTTTAAGCAGCAGTACCGTAGCTGGTGCTAATTCTACTAAGCACACACTGGCACAGTTATTGTCCGGTTTAAGCAATTATTGGTACGATCGAAACCGATTACTCACACAGGGCAACAATAACATGACTGACGCCAATTGTTGACTTATTTACTGATTGGGCTGATTCTTGGAATCTTAGTTGGAATAAACTTTGCTTGACTATGACTGCATTATTTTTTCACGGGTTTCAATATAGAAATTCTACCATCCTGTCATCTTAGTTGTCTTTTTGGAATGTTGAAAGCAAGAAACATAACATAACAGCGTCATGTTCTGGGTTTTATTTACTACTCCAGAGCATGACACATGCTGAGCGGTGGCCAATTTTGGTTCTAACTTGTACTTGCTTTTTGTTATCTGTGTGTTATATTTTAAGTTGGAACCAAATAAATGTTTTTCTTTCTTTCTTTAAACATTAAAATGGGTAATCCATTATGGTAGTGAGCGAGGAGGAGCTGCGCGCGCCGGGCTGGTTCTCGCTGCACGCGGTGTCGGCGTGCGCGCGCGCGCTCCACGTGCAGCTGCGCGCCACGCCGGCGCGCGACTGGCGCCTCGCCTTCCAGCAGCCGCAAGACACGCAGGTCACGCCGGTGAGTGAGAAGAGAATGCAGCCTTCGCATCATCATCATTTCAGTCACAGAAATACCACTGCTGAATGTAAGCCTCCCCTGATAATTTCCACGGGGAGTGACGGGAGCAGTTAGGAGCATCCAGTTGTTCCCGTGCGACGGTGGTGGTGACCTGTGCGATGCAGGTGAGGGTGCACCCACGCCCCCGGCCCGCTGGTCATCACCGAGGAGAGAAATCTGGAGGCGATCATACTGTCGCATCCTCTGACCCCTCCGCCGTCGCCGGAACGAAGGCGGGTTTGGATCATCTTCGGGCTCCCGCTCCGCACCTCCTGTGATAATCATATCTTCGCAGAAGAAGGCCACGCCTTTTTTCTCTAACTAAACCTTAACAAAAGAGAATATGTTACTAAACGTAAATTGGAAAGCTCACGTGTTCCCGTGCTTGGCGTCCGCAGGAGGCGCCGCGCGTGCACTACTACGCCTTCGACGAGGAGCAGGAGCAGGTGCGCCTCGTCGTCAGCTCCGACGATGAAGTCTGCGCCACCGTCGCCGTGCAGGACTACACGGTACGGCACACAGCTCTGCTGTAAACTAGCGAGTGATTCACAGTCACACTGTAACCGCTCAGCTGCCTTGGTTCTCAGTAGGCCTAGGATGTGCGCCACGATATATTTTTATCGAGGCATTTCACCGATACGTCGATAGTAAGATTTTATCATGGTGCACATCCTAACCATAAGTTCTTTAATTACGTTATTATTATTTTATGACATTAACCCTGAAATCTCACAACATTCCTTTTCACATTCCAGTGTCCCATAACGGAGACTTTAGACGAGTTAGCTCTATCAACATTACGAATGACCGTCCAACGCTCGGGAGCCGTGCAACTGTCGGTAAATATCACAATCATAATACGTCTATTGAGGATAAATTAAAATCTTTAGAATATAATCCAAATTATACTTCGTACCTCTTCCGAAGATGANGCGCGACTGGCGCCTCGCCTTCCAGCAGCCGCAAGACACGCTGGTCTCGCCGGTGAGTCCAGGAACGCAGCCTTCTTATCATCATCATTTCAGTCACAGAAAGACCACTGCTGAACGTAAGCCTCCCCTGATAATTTCCACGGTGGGCTCTACAAGCCGCGCAGGATGGGCAGCGACGGGAGTAGTTAGGAGCTTCCAGCTGTCCCCGTCCGACGGTGCTCGTGACTTGTGCAACGCAGGCGGGAGTTCCCCGACGCATCCGGCGTGCTGGCCATCAAGAAGAGGAAACTGGAGGCGATAATACTAACAATCGCGTCCTCTAACTCTTCCTCACCGGAGCGAGTATGTGTTAGGATCATCTTCGCGCTCTCGCTCCTTTCTTCTCTTTTTTTCGTCAAGAAAATACATGAATTTGTATACCCATCAGCCGCGGGCGCAGCTAGTCGGTTATGTAGGGGTTTTCCTGCCAGAAGGGCAAGGCCTACCCTGATATGGCCCTCGGTAAGCCATATGAGTTGGGAACGCGGGACATACTAGCGCGCTCCTTTCTTCCTTAATCTAACCCTAACCAAAGATATGAAACTAAACGTAAATTGGAAAGCTCACGTGTTCCCGTGCTTGGTGTCCGCAGGAGGCGCCGCGCGTGCACTACTACGCCTTCGAGGAGGAGCAGGAGCAGGTGCGCCTCGTCGTCAGCTCCGACGATGACGTCTGCGCCACCGTCGCCGTGCAGGACTACACGGTACGGCACACAGCTCTGCTGTAAACTAGCGAGTGATTCACACTGTAACCGCTCAGCTGCCTTGATTCTCAGTAGGCCTAGGATGTGCGACACGATATACTTTTATCGAGGCATTTCATCGATAGGCCCACATTTGTCTTAAGTAAAATTTTATCATGGTGTACATCCTAGATCCTAGTCATAAATTACGTTATAAACGTAGTCTTATCATCCTTACCGATTTACCGCCTTTTGTATTTATCTGTGCACTAATATTACTATTTATGTATGTTTATCTAGACAATTTTATGCAGCTTAGTATTTTATTTATTTTACCAATGGTCCGTGACCCTCACTTGGCATGGGGCACACTGAAAACCAGCGCCGTGGCCTTCGTCACCGTGGGCCACGGCATATGCTGAGTGGGGTCCCGTTGCAGTGGGCATCTTGTTGGTGGATGGGTGGCACTGCTCAGTTTACTCTTGTTTTTATTTTTTCTTCTTCCATTATTATGTGCCACTGTCATGTCTATGTAATTGCCTGTATTTGTGTGATGCCCATTGTAATAAATGTGTCTTTCTTTCTTTCTTTCTTTCTTATATTATTTATTTTATTACATTACGCTGAAATCTCATAACATTCCTTTTCACATTCCAGTGTCCCATAACGGAAACTTTAGACGAGTTAGCTCTATCGACATTACGAATGACCGTCCAACGCTCGGGAGCCGTGCAACTGTCGGTAAATATCACAATCATAATACGTCTATTGAGGATAAATTAAAATCTTTAGAATATAATCCAAATTGTAGTGGTGGCAGTGGGCGGGGCATTTAGCTCGCAGAGACGAAGGCCGCTAGGGCAAAAAAGTTCTCGAGTGGCAACCACGAGCCGGAGGACGTAGTGTGGGCAGGCCTCCCACTAGATGGACCGACGATCTGGTGCCTGGATGCGCGCGGCGCTTGGGACCGGTCTTTGTGGAAATCCTTTGTCCAGCAATGGACGTCATTCGGCTGAAACGAAAGATAATCCAAATTAGAAGTTATGTAGCAATTGTAAGTGTAATGTTTTCCAGCGGAGCCGGTTCCCCCGCGGCTTCTACGTGGTGGTGGTGGTGCACCAGTCGGACGAGGCGTGCGCGGGCGAGCAGCCCGAGCAGGAGGACTGGCTGTGGGAGGCGGCGGTGTACGGCGCCGCGCCCACACACCGCGACACCCCGCGCACTAAGCTTATCACGCTCGACACACGGGTGAGTCGACCTTAGCGTAATTTATTTGCTTGTTATAGATCTAACGCTTAAATGAGGCAGTGCCTGAGGTATGGGAGCGGCACGGGAGGGGTGATTTTGACATTACAGATGTGACGTGACAGAGCATACAAATCTGAAGTCTCGCTGACATTTGACGTAACAAAAACACCCTCCCGTGCCGCTCTCGTGCTTCAGGAACTGACTCAGCGCTACAGATATAGCTAGGATAGTGTTTATGGGCCATGCTTCGCAATGTATAACTATAGGCTACCATCACTTGGCGATCACTCGGTGGTGCTTTCACCATGGCCGTAGCTTTTTGCTGTCTGGCTAAACACTTACGTTGGACGTGGAAACGCAACGCAATATCCCGATTGGCGGTCGCTGATGAACCGAACAATTTGCCACTGTGTGACCACACGACACTTTGAAGTGTGCCAAAATACCGACTGCATACCGATTGCGCGCCACGATTGACAATCTTCCGCCACCTTATACCATTACCCTCTGTAAACAATGGCCACGGCCTATAGTAAAGCCTGGTCCGTGAGCACGTAGAATCCCGTCCAATGACCCCAAGCTACCCATCCTTATCGCTCGTGCGTAATTATATTGCTGTCGCGACTGTGCGACGCGCGCCCGCAGTGAGTGTGCGAGCGCGACAGCAACATAATTACGCGCGAGCGACAAGGATGGGCAGCTTGGGGTCATTGGACGGGATTCTACGTGCTCACGGACCAGGCTTTAGTACTAACTGTTAACAACAGCGTGTTTGTGTTGTTTCCCCGACAGCCGGCGCTGTCGCGCGCGCAGTACGCGGTGGCGGCGGGCGCGTCGCTGGCGGTGTTCGCGTGCGTGTACGCGGCCTTCGGGCTGCTGGTGCTGGCGCAGCGCTGGCCGCGCTTCGGCCGCCTCGTGGCGCCGCGCGCCGTGCTGCGCGACCCGCCGCGTGAGTCATTTATGACCGTTTTCACCATCAATCCCTAATTTTTAAGTGACCCCTATGTAAACAAAATTCCTGTTATAAAGTTACCATATAGGTCACTTAAAAATTAGGGATTGATGGTGATAACAGGCATTAGTCTTCGCTTTAAGCCGGATCTCCACTAGAGGTAGCCTCGGGTCAAGCATAAAACTTCTAAAAAATCTCACGCACGATTCGTTGCGAGGCTTTCATCGCCGCGGACCGAGCCACATTTGGTCGCTCGGAACGAGGTAGCCGCTCGGCTCGAGGCTGTCTCCCGTAGATACGCGGCTTCAGGAGCACACAACTCTCTAATTTATCAGAGCTAAATGGAGGATTTGACCTACACTCACTACGCTGGCCAGTCGAGTTGGGGATATTATCTTTTTGAGTTAACTCTTGTTTTGTCTAGGTACCGAAGAAACCGCTGTGGAGTCTCAGATAGACGCCAGCCAACTTACTACCGGAACGCCAGCACGGCGAAAACGAAGATCCTCAGGTAAAGTCATCTCTTTTTTTATTCACTCGTCTGCCGATATGTTGGTTTTAGTATGTTTGCGTACCTAGTAGACAAACAATTATTAGATTTCGAAAAGTTACCCGAAAGACTTACATTTGTTGCAATAGACGCGACATTCGACAGCAGCGACAACAGCGACTCGGACGAGTCCGACGAAGAGAGCGCCCCGTCCCCCGCGCCCGCCGCGTCCTCCGCTCGTAACGGGGGCCCGCCCGCCGCCGACAGCCCAGACGGTGACGTCGGCAGTCCCACCAATGGCTTCAGAAACAACATAAACAGGTACGCCGACCTGTAGGCCTAGGATGCGCGCCGCGATAAGCGTTGATCACGCCATTTTATAGATTTTACGCTATAAGACCATACATTTTGTCGTCTAAAATCATCGATAAGATTTTATCACGGCGCGCATCCTAGCCCGATTGATCATCATCATCATTTGAGCCACAGGACGTCCACTGCTGTATCGGCCTTCCCCAATGATTTCCATATCGCCCGGTTGGTAGCGGCCTGTATCCAGCGCCTTTCTGCTACCTTTATGAGGTCTTCGGACGATTTTGTGGGTGGACGTCCCCACGTTGCGTTTTCCGATACATTTTTTTTTACACACAACGAGGAAGCTCTTGGCTTGTCTGTATCTCACCTGATGGTAACTCCAGAACCTTGCTGCCCCATTGGCCGTCAGTTTTAGCAAATTAATTTGCCGTCGAAGTTCTCATAATCGACAGACATTCTCATCTGGTTCGCAGCGACCCCCCGACAGTGTTCGTGATCCCGTCGGGCGGCGTGAGCAACCGCGGCTTCGCGCCGTCCACGCCGCTGGACGGGCCGCCCGCGCCCGCGCCGCCGCCGCCGCTCGACGCCGCGCCCGCCGTCGCCAACGGACAGCCGGCGCCGGTCGCCGGCGAGGAGCAGCAGGTTGGTCACAGGTTTCAAGTTATAGAGCACTAGCGGCCCACCCCCGTTTCGCACGGTTAAAATCGAATTTTCCGGCTTCTTTTCTATAATATGCATGTTTTATACCTACAAACCTTCCTCTTGAGTCACTCTATCAATTAAAAAAACCGCATCAAAAACCGTTGTGTAGTTCTAAAGATCTAAGCATACATAGGGACAGACAAACCTTTCCGGTTTTGTTTTATACTATGTTGAAGCCAAAAATGTTTGCAACTAACAACGTTCGATTACGGCGTAATCCGTTTTCAGTCCTAAACAGGCGTCGTACAGTCACATCTAGGAATCGTTGCTTGGTTAAAAAATTCGCGCATTGTCCCGTGAAGCGCTCTATCTTGACTAAAATTGCATGAGCCTTGCATTATTTCCCGTTATCCACGCACCCTTACCTTAAACCATTTTCGAGAAATCAAGCATTGCTATTTGCAAATATTTTAGCTCACCCTATTTAATAAGGGATTATCGTTTTTGCGCTCACCAGTTGGCGCCACTGTTGAGTAAGGTCTTGTCTTGTGAGCGCAAAAAGTGGTAGGACTATCGCATTTGCACTCATCAAGATGGCGCCACTGTAGAGTAAGGTCCTGTCAATCGCCAGTGGTGCCAACTGTTAAGTATAAATACGATAGCCCTCATTGCCTGTTAATATTGCGTGTCTCTCGCAGGCGGCGCGTCCGTTCGGGCTGCCGGCGCGGCTGCGCGTGGCGGCGCTGGCGCGGCGGCGCGAGCGGGTGCTGCGCGCGCGCTCCGACCGCTACCTCACCACGCTGGCCACCGTCGCCGTGTTCTACGCGCTGCCCGTCATACAGTTCGTCGTCGCCTTCCAGATCGTGAGTACTTCCGTCGTATTATCAGTCTGCACATATTTGATGTACTTAAATTTGACTATTCTTACCGTTAGATAATTCCTAGCAATAAGTAGTGACTGAGTTTGTTCCGGCGTTTCTTCTCAGCACTTGCCATATGTTTCTCTCGAAGCGCTGGTAGAGCCCAAAAGATAAGGAAACATGTAAAGTGCCCCATAAGGGCTACCTTTTCTTTTTTTATTATTTTCTATTGACGTTCATAAGTGCCACTTGTGGTCTAAACTGAATAAATATTTTTGATTTTGATTTTGATTTTTATCGGCAACAGTGTTAACTGCCCATTGCCGGTCATGTCGTCTCGTTCTGTCGCAAAGAATCACCGTTTGATGAGAGCGCGAGCAAAAACGGAAATGGATAGTTAACACTGTGGCCGTGTGTACATCGTCTTATTTATTCTTGTATTTAATTTTTGAAATTCACGATAATATGCGAAACACCACCGGTAACGATACGATGTGTAATGGAGAATGTGCGAAGGAATTACATGACCTGATTCCACCAGCCCCCTTCCATCACCAGGGAACCAGACGCAGTTTTTTCCCTACATTGTCGATATTCCACCAGCTAGCACTAAGCGTTTCGTTGACACCTTTGCGAATAGCTAGGGATTGGAATTCGCTGCCTGTTGCTTTCTTTCCCGAACACTGTTATCTGGGCCTTTTCAAGGCGAGAGTGAATAAGCACTGACAGTGTGTACGATCCCACTGTATCTCACTTAACATCAGGCGCAATTGTGGTCAAATACCTGCCGTGTTCTGCATATTAAAAACTGCTTATTTTACTTAGCTCTTTATTAGTATCCGCATATAAGTTATAGACGGGACCCTCCGCTCCGTCCTTCAAGTCACTCGTCGTATCAGCCGAATGACGTCCACTGCTGGACAAAGGCATCCCCCAAGAATTTCCACAATGACCGGTCCTGCGCCTCCCGCATCCAGGCACTTTTTAAAGTGACCACTTCTGTACGAGTGATTCGTTGTTGGTTTTCTGTGACCGTGACTTCTGGAGCGATTCGTTAAATAATTTTTTTTTTATTTATCTCTCACACACATTACATCAATTACATTGATATTTATTTACATTTAAGGTTTTACACAATATTTATATTTAATTAATTAATCTTTAATTATGCTACATTGTGTGTGAGAGACTGGAGCCTGAGATAGGTTTCCGAAGAAACCCGTATTACAGGTCTCCAGAGCTCCCACCTCCAAGGAAATTAGTGACCTGATTAACAAGATTAACATTCGTTGATGGTTCTCCGCGACCGTGACCGCGTGCGCAGGTGATGAACCTGTCGGGCTCGCTGGACCTGTGCTACTACAACTTCCTGTGCGCGCACCCGGCGGGGCAGCTGGCGGACTTCAACCACGTGCTGTCCAACGCCGGCTACCTGCTGCTGGGCGCGCTGTTCCTGCTGCAGCTGCGCCGCCGCCAAAGCCTGCGCGCGCGTCACCCGCGACACGAGGTTATTCTTCTTTTTTGATGATGTTGGCAATACACGTCGAGGTCGACTTGATTTGTGCCATTTTCAAGTATTTAAGTGATACGATTTACAAAGATCAAGTAATGATATAATGAAGGATGACAGATGATACCCCTAACCCTTTGAGTAGAGACCTCAACCATACAACCACACCAAAGCACCACAACTTTACTGAGACCTCCTATGTACAACTTGAGAGAACCAAAAGAATCTCATCAGAATTTTGTCGGCCGTTTGGTGTAGTGGTTCTGAACGGACTACTATGCCGAGAGGTCCCGGGTTCATTTCCCGGCCGGGCAGAAATTGAAATGATGAATTTTAATTTCTGTGACGGGTCTGGGTGTTACTATGCATAATATGTATGTATTTAAAAAAAAAGTATATAAGTAGTATATCCGTTAAGCTAGCACCCATAACACAAGCATATTAATTGCTTACTTTGGGGCTAGATGGCGCTGTGTGAGATTGTCCAAAGATATTTATAATCACGATGCACTGTTTTGCTTCACTTGCCCACACCCATGCACGTTCACGAACACTCAATGGTTAATAATCCACCATTATTATACATTAATAGTCGCCCACACACGAATTTGAGGAAATAAAACAAAACCGCTAACATGACGCTTCAGATTCCCGCTAAGAAGTCCCGACACGAGGTTATTCACCTTTCTAACTTCTTAACCACAGTCTAAGGTCCAGTCCAGATGACGCGTTTTTACACGCGCGAGCTGCAAAACGCACGACTGCATGTGGACAGAATGTGTGAACCTCCAGTATCTCACTATCGCACGATTCCGAAACTCGATCGAAAGGTGATCCGTCTGCTCGTTTGCCTCCTGTCACATAAAAAAAAAACGCGAGTAAAAACGCGTCATCTGAACAGGCTCTAAGATTCATACATCCCGGTCGAGTTAACTGTGCACCTGGCAGCAGTGACGTCAAATCGACGAATGAGTTGGAGGGAGAGTCCCATTTCAGATTCGAGTCGAGTTGCGCAGTTAGCTCAATCGGGTTGTACTTGTAATCACCATCGCTCCCCATCAGTTCGAAGTTAGACGTTATCTTTTCCTGCGTCCTATTTTTATCCCTTCTTTGTTCTGGTTACAAATCTTCTGCGAGTACTTAATGCCCAAATAAAAGAAACGACTAATAAAAAAATTGTTTGAAATGCCGTTACACAATCTATTGCCCCATGTCATAATTTAATCTCGCCTCCACTCAACGAGTCGTCGAGTGAGAAACACTTAGTGATTTCGGAAATTCATTTGTATTGTTGACTCCGGCACACGCAGGAGTACGGCATCCCGGCGCACTACGGGCTGCTGGCGGCGCTGGGCGCGGGCATGATGGTGGTGGCGCTGCTGTCGGCCAGCTACCACGTGTGCCCCAACCGGCTCAACTTCCAGTTCGGTGAGTGCCGCGCTTCCCACGCGAGTGTTGTTGGCTCCGGCACACCAGGAGCGCGGCATCCCGGCGCACTACGGGCTGCTGTCGGCCAGCTACCACGTGTGCCCCAACCGGCTCAACTTCCAGTTCGGTGAGTGCCGCGCTTCCCACGCGAGTGTTGTTGGCTCCGGCACACCAGGAGCGCGGCATCCCGGCGCACTACGGGCTGCTGTCGGCCAGCTACCACGTGTGCCCCAACCGGCTCAACTTCCAGTTCGGTGAGTGCCGCGCTTCCCACGCGTGTGTTGTTGGCTCCGGCGCACCAGGAGCGCGGCATCCCGGCGCACTACGGGCTGCTGTCGGCCAGCTACCACGTGTGCCCCAACCGGCTCAACTTCCAGTTCGGTGAGTGCCGCGCTTCCCACGCTTGTGTTGTTGGCATCCCGGCGCACTACGGGTTTCACACGCATAAGCTGGCGACTGGTATAAAATCGGAACCAGTGATCCGGTATTGACGGTGGCACCCCCCAGTCAATGTCACGGGTGGGACGGTTCAGTGTAGGATATCTATTTAACACCACTAATCAACTGTGGTACTTTTAAAAACTGTCAAAATGAGACCCATGCATTTTCTAGGGCAATACCTACAAGCCGTCGACATCACTATTAGTCCAGTCAATAAAGCATTATAGATGGAAAACTGTAGAACACAATTTCTGACTTCAGGACTTTATTTAGACTAGTTAGGAGGTGAACATAGCAAAAGTCCCCGTCCTTAGCCCTTGAGCCGGCGGGGAGAGGGGGGTTTAAAGGTGCCACTTTTCGGTTTTTNATTTTCTATTGACGTTCATAAGTGCCACTTGTGGTCTAAACTGAATAAATATTTTTGATTTTGATTTTTATCGGCAACAGTGTTAACTGCCCATTGCCGGTCATGTCGTCTCGTTCTATCGCAAAGAATCACCGTTTGATGAGAGCGAGAGCGAAAACGGAAATGGATAGTTAACACTGTGGCCGTGTGTACATCGTCTTATTTATTTATAATTTTTAAAATTCACGGTAATATGCGAAACACCACTGGTAACGATACGATGTGTAATGGAGAATGTGCGAAGGAATTACACGACCTGATTCCACCAGCCCCCTTCCAACACCAGGGAACCAAACGCAGTTTTTTCCCTACATTGTCGATATTCCACCAGCTAGCACTAAGCGTTTCGTTGACACCTTTGCGAATAGCTAGGGATTGGAATTCGCTGCCTGTTGCTTTCTTTCTCGAACACTATAATCTGGGCCTTTTCAAGGCGAGAGTGAATAAGCACTGAAAGTGTGTACGATCCCAAATACCTGCCATGTTCTGCATATTAAAAACTGATTATTTTACTTAGCTCTTTATTAGTATCCGCATAATATAAGTTATAGACGGGACCCTCCGCTCCGTCCTTCAAGTCGCTCGTTCGTGTTAACCGAATGAGGTCCATTGCTAGACCACTTAGATCCTCCAAGGATTTCTACAATGACCGGTCCTGCGCCGCCCGCATCCAGGCACTTTTTAAAGTGACCACTTCTGTACGAGTGATTCGTTGTTGGTTTTCTGTGACCGTGACTTCTGGAGCGATTCGTCGATGGTTTCTTGTTGTGCGCAGGTGATGAACCTGTCGGGCTCGCTGGACCTGTGCTACTACAACTTCCTGTGCGCGCACCCGGCGGGGCAGCTGGCGGACTTCAACCACGTGCTGTCCAACGCCGGCTACCTGCTGCTGGGCGCGCTGTTCCTGCTGCAGCTGCGCCGCCGCCAGAGCCTGCGCGCGCGCCACCCGCGACACGAGGTAATCAACATTACTATGGGGTCTCACAGTGCGTGTGAACGCACAGGGTGACACGAACCAATCGCAGAGCTCTATTCAATGCTGTGCGTTCGATTTCCTGCTTCACTTAAGCAAGCATACATCATGTTATACATACATTTCTTTACACAAAATACTAGTGTTAATGCTAGTTGTACCAACATGCGCTTTAGTTCTTAAAGTAACTGACTTCTACTCTGGGCTAGGTCTGTCATGTAGACAATCTTTTGTCACAAGTGCGAGTTACGATTCACGTTTCTAACTTCTAAACCACAGTCCGAGCTTCATACAACCCGGTCGAGTTAACTGTGCACCTATGACGTCACATCGCCGTTCTGGTGGGCGTGGCGAACGCGGGGAGGTGTACGGGTGAATTGGAATGAAAGTCGCATTTCGGATTCGAGTCGAATTGCGATTAGCTCAATCGGGTTGTACTTACAATCACCATCGCTCCCCATCAGTTCGATGCTGGACGTTTTCTTTTCCTACGTCCTATTTTTATCCCTTCTTTGTTCTGGTTACAAATCTTCTACGAGTACTTAATGCCCAAATAAAAGAAACGACTAAAAAAATTGTTTGAAATGCCGTTACGCAATCTATTGCCCCATGTCATAATCTTAATCTCGCCTCCACTCAACGAGTCGTCGAGTGAGAAAAACTTAGTGATTTCGGAAATTCATACGTATTGTTGACTCTGGCGCACGCAGGAGTATGGCATCCCGGCGCACTACGGGCTGCTGGCGGCGCTGGGCGCGGGCATGATGGTGGTGGCGCTGCTGTCGGCCAGCTACCACGTGTGCCCCAACCGGCTCAACTTCCAGTTCGGTGAGTGCCGCGCTTCCCACGCGTGTGTTGTTGGCTCCGGCGCACCAGGAGCGCGGCATCCCGGCGCACTACGGCATCAATCAATTGGCGTACTTTTAAGACTGTCAAAACGAGACTCCCATAGATTTTGTAGGGCAATACGAGCCGTTTGACGTCGCTATTTTAACAATTCAATTTACTAACATTTTATCATTTACAAAGCAACCAACAATCTTAATTTACAGGTGACACCATTCGCCAATTATTCTCAAGATCAACTTTTTTTAAAAATCCTTATTCTAGTCTTAAAATGATTTTTCGTTGGCCGATAGTTTAGTCGGGCAGTTGATCAGTATGGGCATGTATGGAAGTGCGAACATAACACCGATTTGATTTGGCCGATTAATTTAATTTTTTTTATGCATAACAAGGCAGGTATTTGACCACAATCGCACCTGATGTTAAGTAGTTAAATCGGGCACAAAGCATCGGCCAACTAAAAATCGATGGCCTGCGCCGCTTTATAAATTAGTAAAAGTTACTCGTTTTAACAGTTTTCAGAAATTGCAGCTTTGAAAGTGAACTTAGTGTCAAATGCTAATGTGAGTTCTCGTGCCCGCAGACACGGCGTTCATGTACGTGCTGGCGGTGCTGAGCATGGTGAAGATCTACCAGTCGCGCCACCCCGACGTCAACGCGCGCGCGCACGCCACCTTCGGCGTGCTGGCCGTGCTCATCGCCATCGGTGACTGGCCTCATAGGGACTGTACAGGGTGGAAACGATAAGTGATCTCACTCGATTATTTACTAACTATACAAAATAACAAAAAACTGATTATTGATCCTGAAAGTGCTTCACGAGCTCTTTCAAACGGTATGAGTAATAGGTTACAGAATTAACTGGATCTATCCGAAAATTCAATGTTTTCAGGCTCCATACTAAATGTATGCCAACCACACAATATTAGAAGTGTTAATTTTTTTTAATTCAATAATAAACACTTAAATTGCATTCTTATTTAAAATTATTCGTGGAAAATATTGATTTTTAGGCTATACTTGCTATAATACTATCAAGACATGAGTGCCATGACTTTGGCAGTACTAAATGTATGGAAGCTGAAAACATTGAATTTTCGGATAGATCCAGTTTATTTTGTAACCTATTATTGGTACCGTTGGATAGAGCTCGTGAAGCACTTTTAGGATCAGTAACCAGTTTTTGGATATCTTGTATAGTTTTTAATATTATGTGGTTTTACTAAATGTATGGAAGCCGGAAACATTGAATTTTCGGATAGATCCAGTTTATTTGGTAACTTATTATTGGTACCGTTGTATAGAGCTTGTAAAGCACTTTCAGGATCAGTAACCAGTTTTTGGATATCTTGTATAGTTTAGAAATAATCGAGTGAGATCACTTATCGTTTCCACCCTGTATAGATCGTTTCATCCACGAAGACGTGCCCCACCAATTTTTGGTCGAGGAGAGCGCGGGGTGCGGGGAGTTTGATCCGAGAAATCCGAGCGTCATTATTGCAGTGTGCGTGTGCACTCATGAATGATATAGCGTGTACCGATAAGACTCATTAGCGGAAGAGTGGTGGGGCGCGTCTTCGTGGATGAAAAGATCTATAACCAAACTAAACTGCCCTCGGCCCGGAAGAGGTAGTGTAGACCGACGATCTGGTGAAGGTTGCGGGAAGTACCTGGATGCGGGTAACGACCGGTTGTTATGGANTAGCTATACGGTTTACCCTATAGTTTTCGCGGCATCTGCTCCAGAAGGTCTGTAATATTGGAAATTTTATTTTTGTCTTACATGTTCCCATCAAGAGAAAATCGACTAAATCAACATTGAGCAATCATTCTAGACATGCGGGAGCATGTTAAGCCTAGTTCCAGGGAGGGGACTGCACCGTGCGTATATTTAGACGAACCACTTTGAGCCACTTTTGATTCCTCATCACTCAAAAACTACTGTGCATTAACACTTCAAATTTGGCTCATATGTTGAGACTTGCAAGATATACATCAGCTTCAAATTTCATAAATATGCCTCAAACGGTTCTTTAGGTATTGACGTCCAAAAATCTACATGTCTGACTTATATACCAAATTCTAACCACTTCCAGATGACTTCGAAGGTTCAAATTTGGCATCCAGAAAGGTAGTTATGTAAATACAAAGGAACAAATAAAAAACCAGTGAATTTTAACATTTCACAGGTGATAGATAAATTTTAGTGTTATAAATGTCGATTTTTGAACGTCAATACCTAAATAACCGTTTGAGGTATATTTATGAAATTTAAAGCTGATGTATATCTTGCAAGTCTCAATACATGAGCCAAATTTGAAGAGTTAATGCACAATAGTTTTTGAATGATGAGGAGTCAAAAGTGGCTCCAATTTGTTCGTATAAATATACGCACGGTGCAGTCCCCTCCCTGGAACTAGGCTTAACATGCTCCCGCATGTCTATAGTGTTTGCTCAATGTTGATTTAGTCGATTTTCTCCTGATAGGAACATGTAAGACAAAAATTAAATTTCCAATTTTACAGACCTTCTAGAGCAGATGCCGCAAAAACTATACAAGATATAGAAAAACTTGACGGTCTCGCCTGCAGCAAATTGAATAAGCTTTTTTTGGTTCATAGTAGTCATGTCACTAGGACGCATAGTTTCCGAGGATTAAGCGAAAAACCGAAAAGTGGTACCTTTAAACCCCCCTCTCCCTGCCGGCTCAAGGGCTAAGGGCGGGGACTTTTGCTATGTTAACCACCTAACTAGGCTAAATAAAGTCCCGAGGTCAGAAATTGTGTTCCACGGATTTCTCTCTACACCGTCGTTAAGGCATTCATTGACTGGACTATATTCAAATCAATTGACAAATTTTTCATCAATTATAAAGCAACTAAAAATCATAATTTACAGCTGATTTAAAAATAATTGCGTTTTTAAGAACAGAATAAAGTGTGTTTTAAAAATGACGTGTTTTATATTGGTGAATGATGTCAAATGCCCAATTAGAAACTGCAGCTTTGAATGTGAACCTGATGTTAAATGCTAATGTGAGTTCTCCTGCCCGCAGACACGGCGTTCATGTACGTGCTGGCGGTGCTGAGCATGGTGAAGATCTACCAGTCGCGCCACCCCGACGTCAACGCGCGCGCGCACGCCACCTTCGGCGTGCTCGCCGTGCTCATCGCCATCGGTGAGTGCCCTGCCCGCTGCCCGCCCGACACCACGTCACTAAACTGTGACCACGGCAAGGAACACGTAGTGGACCGACGATCTGGTAAAAAGGCGGGAAGTACAGCGCACGTGGACCGACGATCTGGTGAAGGTTGCGGGAAGTACCTGGATGCTGGTAACGACCGGTCGTTATGGAAATCTTTGGAGGAGGCCTTTGTCCAGCAGTGGACGTCATTTGACTGAAACGAACGAACGAAACTAAAGCTTTTTTTATTTACTTATGACCTGTACGAAATGGAAGCTCTTTTTATCTACTAATGATCTCTGTTTTTATTATCAGATACCCATTAACTCCGAAAGTACTAATCGGCACCTGGCACTGATCTCTATTAAAAGACATAGGCCATGATTTTAGTATTCGTTTTCTTAAGTGAGCTGCTACACTGGCGGATTGCAAGAGTTTTTAAAGCGGAGCGGCGACGCAGCGAACAACGCTTGTAATCCGCCAGTGTGGCAAGTCCCTATGAGATCATCTAATAGACATTATTTGCTAAGATGAAATGAGTAGGTCATTTTGTGTACCATAGAAGTTTTGAATTTCTGTTAGTTTGTGTGAGTAGTAAGACGTGTGTAAAAGAACGTGATACCTACTTATTTTGTGTAACATTATAGAAGATTTTAATCCTGTCAGTTAGTGTGAGTAGCTGTTACGTGTGTAAGAGAACGTGACATGTCGTGTTGCAGTGGTGTGGGGCGTGCTGGGCGGCGGCGCGCTGTTCTGGGGCGTGTTCACGGTGCTGCACGTGTTCACGTTCCTGCTGCTGTCGCTGCGCATCTACTACCTCGGCCAGTTCCGCCTCGGTCAGTCGCCAGGCCGTACACGAGCCGAGTTACGCCCAGAACAGACGGTGAAACGCAAGTGCAACGAAACTGCAACTCTCTGATGAATGAAACTGAAAGTTTCAAACTGGTCGCGTCACGTGTGGTCTCTCAACGGACGCTATGGCAGAAACTTAGATGCAACTCAAAAGTAACTAGCAGTTGCAGTTTCGTTGCAGTTGCGTTTCACCGTCTGTTCTGGGCCTTATACAAATCTCACTCAAAGTTTCATCACACGTTATATTTCATAACGTTAGTATATTGTAAGAAAAATGGCATCATTTTAATCGGAAGTACTAACACTGCTAAAAAATGTATGAGAAAACATCATTTTTGAAGTTAGCAAACGTGTCCTCATCGAAAACATGCTACAGTTTAGCTAACAATTTCTAACAAGCGCTATTTTCGGCCAAACGCAGCCATTTACTCTTGTTTTATTTTTACACGCTGCTTATCTTACAAATGTACTCGGTAAGTGCAATGATGTACTCGTTGTAACTATTATTATTCACGGTATGTTTTTAATAGAACACGTATTTGGACCGTTGCAATACTGAATAGTCTGGTCCAGGAGCACGTAGAATTTTGTCGCACACTCACTGCGGGCGCTCGTTGCACAGTCGCGACAGCAATATAATTACGCGCGAGCGATAAGGATGGGTAGCTTGGGGTCATTGGACAAAATTCTACGTGCTCCCGGAGCAGACTATACATGTCGTAACTTATGCGAGTGTGTGTGTATGTATGTATGGTACAGAGAAGGAGACGCTGTCGCGCGCGGCGCGGGGGCTGCGGGCGCTGCCGGCGCGCGGGCTGCGGCCGCTGTACTCGGCGCGGCTCGTCATGCTCGTCATCGCCAACGCCGTCAACTGGGCCTTCGCCATCTACGGGTATGTGCCGCGCCCACCCGCTTGAGACGCCTTTCGGTTTAGCCCGACCTCAAATATTTAAAAGTTCGCTTACGGTATAATGACATAAAAGAAACTGATGAATTCTTCTATTATTTTCCAATTTCAAAATATCTAATCTATACGTTACATATCCGAGGTGATCGACTTTACTGTTAGTATAGGCGCACACTAGGCGACAGCCGACACGCCACAGCGATAGTATGCAACTATATGCGATTTTGTACAAAGCTTCTCACACTCGACTTCAGAGTCGCAGAGTCCAGTACCTCTAGCATGAACAACTTTCGTCTTCGAATCGTTTGCGTGTTCGACAAAATTCGATACTCAACCTTCGAATTAAACGATGACAATTTTGATTCTCAAAATGAGTTTCGTGCAACCATTTCTCATACTAAGTTCACTTTACGACACGTTCACAAGGGCGCTGTTGTAGTTTACGTACTAAATCTTTTGATGGCGATTCGAATACGCAAACGATTTGAACTCGAAAGTTTTTCGTGCTAGCCGTACAGAATATATGAAATTGTCGTCCGTGCCTGTCGTCGCATCCAATCGCTGTCGCGTCGCCTAGTGTGCACGTACTCCTGATCAAATGAATCACGAAACAATAATATATCTTTGACTGGGTTCAATAGATGCATCGATAAATAATGTGTTCTATCGGCAGGCTGTTCATGCAGAGCACGGACTTCGCGTCGCACCTGCTGTCGGTGCTGCTGTGCAACACGCTGGTGTACATGGGCTTCTACCTGTGCATGAAGCTGCTGCACGGCGAGCGGCCGCGCTGGTACGCCTGGGGCTTCCTGGGCGGCGCGGCGGCGGCCTGGGCGCCCGCGCTCTACTTCTTCCTGTCCGGCTCCTCCGACTGGGCCGCCACGCCCGCGCAGTCGCGCCACAGGTACCGCCGGCACCACACTCGTCATTCACCCGCCCGTGATTGTGGGAGTGACGATTTATGACCGGGAGTGAACGTCACACCGGCAACGATTGGAGAGCCGAAAGAACCCAACAACCGCCCATTTTTATTTAACTCATAAAAAATCAATTACGGCATTCGATTCAACGACGGTGACGTTGCAACCGTNATAATAAATAAATACATTCATCAACGTCTCCCCAATTTTTCAAGGAGTTCCCCCCTAGGTTTTATCGAAAGTCGTTTCATCGAAGTCGTTTCATAGAATGGACGAAACATCGAATGCCATATCATCGAAAGGTTTATTGTATTAGATTAATCGTGACATCGAGTTCTTCTTATTCTCATTTTCTTACTATTCTTTTTCCCACCTTCATCTTCTTCTTTTCGTCTCCTGTTCTTCTGTTTTTCTTCGTCTGTTCTTCTTCTCTTCTCTCACAATGGGGTCAGAGAAGAAGAAAAAAGAAGAAGAGACGAAGAAAAGCAGAAGAAGAACAGGAGACGGAAAGTAGAAGATGAAGGTGGGAAAAAGAATAGCAAGAAAATGAGAATAACAAGAAGACGATGTCACGATTAATCTAATTATAATAACCTTTCGATGATACGGCATTCGTTATTTCGTCCATTCGATGAAACAGTTTCGATAAAGCGGCATTCGATGAAACGACTTTCGTTAAAACGTAGGGAACCCATTTTTTCAAGTGTACACCGCACAGAATCAAAAATTAGTTTCGTTTCGTTGCAGCAACCACGAGTGCCTCGTGCTGCAGTTCTACGACTCGCACGACCTGTGGCACATGCTGTCGGCCGGCGCGCTGTACCTGTCCTTCAACGCCATGCTGACGTGGGACGACGGGCTGGCCGCCGTGCCGCGCACCGAGATCGCCGTCTTCTAGCCGCCATGAGCCACCCGCCGGCCTGCCGCGCGCCGCCTGCCATTTAAACCCCAGTTTTAACTGCTCGCCGGGCAGTTCGTGGGAGTGGCCTAGAGTCTAGGCAAAACGACACTACTTTTTATGTTAAGTTATAGTAAATAAAAAATATTAAACTCTACATATTTGTTATTCCCATTTTTAAGGAAGGTGCAATGAGGTGGTGTTTTTAAATAGTCCAACTACAACAAACCGTCCCATTCGTGACATTGACAGGAGGGCGCCACCGTCAATACCGGATCGCTGGTTCCGATTTTTGCCTTATTGGAAACTATACAGGGTGTGTCGTAAATAAAGTGGGCCAAAGCAAAGAGGTCGATACACTGTACACTGAAATAATTTCCTTTGAATGCATCACAAAATTAAAAAATATCCTCAGCCGAACGCACTTGAAAACTCAAGAAACTTAATTTTGTTCCAAAATACTGGACTGTCCTGTCGATGACATTGACAGTGGGGCGCCACCGTCAATACCGGATCGCTGGTTCAGATTTTTGCCATGTTGGAAACCATATAGTTGAACGATGGTAGCGCCCCCCTGTCATTGAGTTTGGTGGGACAGTTCAGCGTGGGTCATCTATAGCGTTTTTAAAATGTTATTTTTTGTAGCGACGTTGCCGTGTTTCACGTTGGAAGAGCGGCAACAACTCAAAGCATGTCAAAACCACGTGCCATAAAGCAAGTTATTATGTCAAACTAAAGACACACACACAACGACCTTAAAAAACTTTATTTTATCCTTTTCTCGCACTAAGCTTTGCGTCTTGAATGGTCAGCTAACAGTGTTGCTGTTTGTATGTTTGTTCTCAAATGAAACGAAACGCAGTCTTATCAATGTCGAAACAGAGTTAACAAAACGTAACTTATGACTTTGACAATCAACACGACATCATCTGTGCCGTTGATTGACGTCACGTCATCGTCGTGCGTTCTCATTATTTTTATTTATTTCGCAACTTCCAGAATATCGTCCTTATTTTGTACTTTTTACCCAAAACCGCTGTAAATATTCTTCATCTTAAATATGGATAACCAGTACTACTACAAGTTAATGGCTAGCTACCTGTCGAAACGAAACTGCGACGAGTCATTCATGAGATATTTCTTTGGCAAGAATTCATTGAAGAAGACCCCAGAGGAGCTCGAACGAGCCGACGAAAGAAAAAGAAGATTACAGCGGGAACGATCGAGGAGATATCGCGCTCTTAAAAACGCACGGCGGCAGCACGAAGGAAGTGGGACCGGTGGTAGCGGTGCTCGTGACGCCAGTGACACCGATAGCAGCGTGGTCCGCTCCAAATCGCGCACTCTCATGCTTGAAGAGGAATTCAGCGACGGTGACGAACCCCCGACCCTGTGCGACCTCAACTACGACGACAAGTGGCGAGCCACTTCTTCCGATTGTGCTTCCGACGACAACTCGGCGCAGTCGGCGCCCGAGCTCAAGGAAACTCCCTTATCCGGTGACGTGAGCCTGAGCCTGAAAGAGTTCCTGAGCTCTCCCAACGCTGAGCTGGACTACCCGACCGTGCACAGCCTGATGTTCCACTGGCTGCAGACGTAACATCGCCGCGCCGAGCACCTCGAGTGCGGAGCCTCATGGTTCGTATCATATCATTTAATTCTAACTTGTGTTGTCATCTTTATCCTGTTTTATCATTATGGTCTTTTCAAAAATTTGAACTTTTACCATTGATGAAATGTATAGTATTTTGATGTGATAGTATTATACATATCACATTATAAAGTTTAGAGTGCTGCTTCTTTAAGGTGTATCGACATACTGCACATCAAATCAACCGAACCGTCCTGCTATAATTTTAATCTGACTAATAATTAGCTAGTAATTCTCTATTACTTCATTGTATTGTACCTAGTAGGTAGAGTAGATCAGGTGTGATTGTACCTAACTCTCCTATAAAATCAATCAAAACATATGGCTCTTCTTTTTCTACATTATTTAAATTAGATTTTCAGACTTGATTATTGATAAATTTCAGTTGCCATTGATATTTTGAACATATTTTGCAAATTAGGTAGTTGAACCTGTGAGAGTTTATAAGTTCAATTTACAATTTTAGTAGTCATAAGCCTTTATAGTTGATAAACAACGAGTTGTTGTGAGGAGAGCCCATGGCTCAGTTAGCTGTAGAATATTCCACTAGACAATAAGTTGTTGTTAAGTTGCCATATCCTAATATTTAGATACTCAACTATTACTTATACATAATTATATAAATATATATGCACATAGAGATGTATAGATTATAATAAACCTATAGTTTGTGATACGGATGAATTTACATTTTGTGTGAATCTACAATATTAGGTTGTAATATGCATATAGGGTAAGAGAACAGGCAACTAGCTGTGATTGCCTTTTGCCATAGAATGTGCACACTGCTGAGTGCCTGCCGCGCCAGGCGGGCCGTGCCCGGGCGTCTGGTCGTTGCGGGGCTCAACATTCCTCTTGGGTGCAAATACATGCTTTTATTTTTCAATGTATGTGTAATCTTTGGGCCATGATTCAAACGTGCATTTATTTAGAAAATACTCAAAAATATTATAATATTATGCTCTCTTGTTCTAATTCTTTTTTTTTATGAATTGTCATTATGTAAAAAATATTGCAAATGGAGTTCAACCTTTATTTTTAATATCATTTCTGCCATAATTTATAAATATTTTTTGTAATTTTATACATTTGTAGTTTGTAGTTATTATAAATAATCTATTTTATTCATAGGGATTGTGGTTATGGTTTCAATAAGTGTAGTTTGTATTTTATTTTCTTAATTAGCTACAAATTATTAAGGTAATTATTTTAATTTCCCTTGTTATTGGACTTTCTAACTGAATAAAAATTATTTATTATACATACACAAGTAAACATCATAATATCTGCTTTATTGCATCAGTTGATCAATTTGTGTTGTTATACTTTATAACAATATGGTGCAGCTTTAATAATATTATAGGTACTTGGTGCTTACTGGTTTTCTGGTTTTTAGAAATGCACAATAATATAAATAGTGTCCATTTCATTGGAAGTGAAATAAATACAGTGTAATTACATTCAAAAATTACATGGTTTTCCCGATTTTGCCATGTAGAGCACCATTGTTAATCATTTTTATTTGTGAATATGGAATTACATTCCTACAGTAAAGTTAGTTTGTTGGAATCATTTATCTATTTATTTATCTATCAACAATGTACAATATTTTAATAAGGTGGTTTTTACTTTTCTGTTATTTTATTTAAATTAGTTAGTTGTTATAATAACTAACTATTATACAAGGCGCGCTTACACGGACAATGTTACATAATGTAATAACATTTTTGGCAAATTCAATTATTAGCAATAGGTGTAGATATATATATACGCTTATAATATGTATAACGCCCCCGATCCCCCGACTGGTCCAGTCTAGTGCCCACCCCAAAAAAATAATCTATGTTTAGAAATAGCAATTTATGATTTACAAACTTTCAACCAATTGAAAGTTAGCATTTCGTGGAGAGTGATGATGGTTTATTATTATTCCCCTCTACTGAAACCGAACGACCAGTATTACGTTTATTACTTAAAACCCGGAGGAGTTAACTGCGCACCTGGCAGCCGTGACGACATTTAGACGCTGTACGGGACGGGGCGTACGCGGGGAGCTGTGCGGGTAAGTGGGAGGGAGAGTCGCATTCCAGCGAGATGCGCAGTTAGCTCAATCGGGTTGTACTTAGATAGACCTAGTCTATGGCGATTAATATCCATATTCCTAGCGTTAAATCCACCCACTGTACACTGTTATGCGCAATAAAGTTTAAAATAAATGAAAGTCATGATTCTGGGCATAAATAAATATATCATTAAGGTCCATGCATTAACCACAGACATTTTGCCCTTAGCATGATTAGATTCTGGCGTTGTAGTCGGCGGCAATTATTGTAGGCGCTTTACAATGCTGCAAAAAATTTTTCACTTCGCCCCAGAATTTAATATGCTCTTGTAATATCGCCTTTACAATACTTACTAAATATTAAAATTTTAGTATAAAGAGGATTGGTACTTAGATCTCACGATCGGATTTAAAAAATTGGTTTATTTTATCCCTACTTAGGTACTACTCGTAATCTCTAATAAATTATGTGAATATTATAAATGAGAAATTAACTCTTGTCCGTCTGTTGCGCTTTCACGCCTAAGTAAACTACTAAAGCGATTTTGATGAAATTTGATTAGAAATAGTTTTGACTTCCGGGAAAGGATATAGGTAGGATTCTTCTTCTTATTCGTTACGCTCTTGGCAGAGCGGTCGTGGTCACGTTGAGGCGTTCACATCGGTTGTAGAGGCGGATACAACTCTCCGCACGATCTCCCTCCATCTCTCTCTATTGTCAGACTGTCTGGTGCAGTCACATACGCCGTCTCCCACTGCTGTACTGCTTTTTTTGTATATCTTACTTACTTAATGCCCATCCACTTTACAGTAGCCATCTACTGTGTCGTTAAGGTGTAATTACCAATAGTTTTGTTATTACATTATTGGTGCATTGTCCGCAATCTTTACCGTTTTGATTGAATACAGAGACAATCTCTACATTACTCTATTGCTTCAATAAATAAATACAGTAGAACGCCGATTATCCGAATTAATTGGGACCGGGGTCGATTCGGATAATCGAAAATTCGGATAATCGGACATAGACTGGTAAAAGGGAAAAACCAACTGTCACACATAGAATAAACTTTAATTATGTTAACAATCAGATATATTTCCTACTTGGCGTTATTGTAGAACTGCTACAATAACGCTCAGTTGAAATATATCCGAATTCCAACAAAAAAAAAACAAAAATTACTTGGTTTTAATTTTTTATATTACGCTTAGGACCGATTCGGATAATAATTGGCGATTCGGTTAATCGGCGTTCGGATAATCGGCGTTCTACTGTAATAAAGTAGGTGCAGCATAACCGAATAGTTTCCGGAGTTTGTGCAGCAACGGTATTGGTGAGCATATTATTTTGAGCCTAATTGCGCCCTAAAAATAATTTTTCAGTATTTTTCGAGTCTCCTCGGAATTCGGAGTTATTTCAGTTTCAATTATTATAAGGGCGACGTTAGTCACAGTGAAGACGCGACGCGGCGCGGCGTCAAGTGTTTACGGCTATAAAGTTTCCGAGTGCGGCCTCTGGCTGGATCTACAATCTACATACCTATCTTGTGTGTTCAGTGTGCTGTGTTACTACACCTAATTAAGTTACTACCTTTTAAACAATAATTATAATTTGCAATGGAGAGTTTAAACGGTTAAGATTGCGATGCGCCAGCAGTTAGCGATGCCTTATGTGTATTTTAGATTATAATTAATGCTTAGATAGGTACTTTAAGGTAGTGCCATATTAAAGAGCTTCCTGACTATTTTTAATTGGTGTTTCAGTTATTCCATTTTCATAAAGAACCAGCGATATTATAGATAGGTACCGCGATAGCACCTCAACTTTAAACAAAATACGAAATTATCACAAGATTCAATATTTTTATAAGATTGTAATTATAAGAGAGCTTTATAAAATAAAAGAAATTCAATGTCATTACGTTTAATCAATTCAAATCACACTATTATCTGTATTACTTAGGATCTAGTGTATCTTTTATAATACATAATAGGGGTTTTAAGTATGAAATTNTATAGAGCATGATTTGCTTAATGAAGTTGATATTGAAAGTGTTATCTCTAAATTTTCCCACATTAAAAATCAAGAAAAGTTCATTTGTAACAGTTTTGTTTCATTTAATACCCTAAACTTGAGAACCTAAAGCAAACCAAGGGCCCCTTGATAGAAATTTGCTACAGGCCCCGCGCTGGCTTAATCCGGCACTGGGGTTTTAAGTATGAAATTGCCGATTTTTTTCTTCAATATTCATGTAATTTAGTATGTCTGTTACAGTCAAAACTCATAATGCTCTTGGTCAATATTCTACTGGAAATATCAGTCAAAAGTGGTTTTGACTAAGGGCGTTAGTCAAAACCACTTATAGCTGCACAAAATCAGTCAATAGTGTTTTTTGAGTGACCGATTATGAGTTTTGACTGTAACACGTCCATTATTTCTTATTATTTTCTAAAATCTTCAAAAACTGTAGGTGCAGTGGTCGTTTCCGTTAAAGAAATATGATTATTTTTTACAGGTAGGTATCAATTTCCATTTTTTTCTTATGCAGGATAATCTAGTCAAAAAAATATTCGGTAAATTAAAGGCAATTTCGAACTTTATTATAGGCACGTAAAATAATAATGCAACTTTAGATTAATCTTTTTTTATAGTGCTAAAATACGGAATTTAGGAATTATTATATATTTTGCAGTTCGACAGTCACTTAAGTATGTGTAACTTAAATAACTACATACCTATATACAGGAAGTCTCATGAAGGGTGTACCAGCCAGCGGTTGTCTGGTATTACAGGACACTAATACCTCGATCGATTTAACCACTATGTATGCGAAAATGAATAATATTCAAGTTATTTAGCTAAAACGCATGTTGTCCTGCTTAGAGATGTGCCGCTGAGAAAGTTCTCGTTCCCGGCAATATTCCCAGTGAGAATATTCTCGAGAACCGAGAACGCTCCCGGGAATATTCTCAGTGTTCTCGACAGAATGCATTTAGTTTTAATTTTAATTTTGTTGTTTATATGTGATATTATTTGTAATGTTTCGATGATTCATTAACTGGGCGTTAAGACTAGTCGTTATAAACAAGGCATGAAACGTGTGAGTGAGATATTGCTGTCTTGCTCACTCTTTTCGTGGCGAACGCGTGCCGCGGCTTTAGGACTCGGCTGCGGTATTTGAACATCAGTGTGCCGCTGAGTTTTAAGGCCCTTGCCACCCTGGAGGATTGCAAGCGGATTCAAAGTGGATTTAAAGCGGAGCGGCGACGCGACGGAGAAGCTGCGTGAAAATATCGTGAAGCTTCCCGAAGGCTGCCCAGCCGAGCTGGATTCGATGATTGACCTTTTTTCGAAGTTGGACCTACCTAACTGGACTGTTTGTCCCAGGTATACATTATTGTCAACAACTTCGAGTGTAGAGCCTCCAACTTTTAGAGGAGTGGGTGCAACACGGTCTTTAGACATGATTTTTAAATCTTGTCCATGTTCATTTTGAGACCCACTTGTTGAGAGACTCTATTGAGGCCATCGAGCATTGTATCTAGATCTTCCACGATCTCAGCCATGACTACGATATCGTCTGCTGTCTGGGTGATGTACTCGCCGTTGATATTTATGCTGAATCCGCTCCAGCCCAGAAGCTTGAAAACATCTTCCAGGGCGGTGGTGATGACGTCTCCCTGTCTCACCCCTCGCTGCAACTGGATAGGTTTCGGGTCCTGATCTTAAAACGGACTGTTACTGTGGCGTGTNAAAAGTAGCCGCCTGACATGGAACGTGTTATGGGGGCTGAAAATATAGGAAATGACCCATTCTATCCGCCAAATCATTTTGGCACACGATGCACCAAACACCCTGTATATTTTGCAGTTCGACAGTCACTTAAGTATGTGTAACTTAAATAACTACATACCTATATACAGGAAGTCTCATGAAGGGTGTACCAGCCAGCGGTTGTCTGGTATTACAGGACACTAATACCTCGATCGATTTAACCACTATGTATGCGAAAATGAATAGTATTCAAGTTATTTAGCTAAAACGCATGTTGTCCTGCTGTTTGCTATTTGATCCAGAAAAACACGTTAAACGTTTGAAGTAGTAGTGTTACAGTCAAAACTCATACTGCCGTGCTAGCGATATCAGCAGTAACTATAATTTGGCAAAACTATAATGAGCTCTATTTCAAATGAGCTGACGGGAGTTTTTTTTAAAAACAAAATATAGGAGGATGTTTTTTTATTTCTTATTGTATTATTAAGAAATCTACGTATTTGTCAGGCAAAATATAAAGTAAAATCATTAGTTTCCATGAAGTTTGGACTGATTGGAAAAATTTGAAATCGGGCGAAAGCATTCTTGACTGATTTTTTGCAGTCAAAAGTGGTATTGACTAACGCCCTTGGTCAAAACCACTTTTGACTGGAAATATCAGTCAAAAGTGATATTGACCAAGAGCATCAGTCAAAACGTATGATCGATTATGAGTTTTAACTGCAAAGTTTTTTTATACCTATCTTAAAAACTTTTTTACTTAACTAGTGGACTAATTGCTGTGCAAACATAAGTCTACTTTTAGATCTTCGTACCAAAATTGACAACTGAAATGGAAAGCACCTAAATAATAATAATAAGTAATTTATTTCAACACACAGTAATATGTTACAATTAATAACATTTCATTTCATATGCAATAAATTAAATTCAAACAATAAAATATTAACTTTCTTCTAATTAGTTTCCTAGTGGAATTTTATCTAAACCTACTAGTTTTGTGCAACATTATTGGTGATCTTTTTTTCGGAGAGGTACAAATATATTTAGCGTGTTTATCTGGATCAAATCACAATCAGAATCAATCAATTATTCATTTTCGCTAAACATACATAGGGGTTTAATCGATAGGTATTAGTGTCTTTTAACACTAGACAGCCACTCTGCAGCTCTGGTACGCCCTTTGTTGGACACCGTATTAGGTACAGGGTGTCCCAAAATTAGCACGTCACACTGACACTGGAGGTAGCTGAGTCTAAGACGCATCGAACAAGCTTAATATGTCCATAGAAAAGTTTGATGAGTTTTGAAATATGACTCATTAGTTATTTTTAAAAATAGACTTAATATACTTGTTAGATGCGTCTTAAGCTCATTTACCTATTATGGTGTCAGTGTGACGTGCAAATTTTGGGACACCCTGTATATTCAAATCATTTATTTCAGACATGACATAAAACCATATACAAATGAGTAGTCAATGAAATTCAGGGCAACAATCACATTTTATAGATTCGAAATATTGAAATGTGCCTCAAAGGTTATTTACTAAAAGTCACTTAAATATTATTATATCAACGTGCGTGTAACTTTTATTAAACAAGGAGCAAGTAGGTAAGTTTGGGAGGATGGATAGACTGATGTTCGTTATTACTTTCAACTAAAATGGTATGACACGGGTCTTAACGCGACGTTTATACGGATACTGTGAGTGGCGTGTCGTGGTAACATCACTAGTGGTAGTGGAACAAATGACAATATGAGGGTGGTTGAAAATTTTCAAGCCCGCGCGAATGGACGACGCCGCGAGCCGCCAGTCTGCTTGTGACCACGGCTGCAGCTTAGCAGCCGAAACGTCAAGCCGTGGCCCGTGAGTACTTACTTGTAACTCATTAATAAACGTCGCGGTAAGACCCGTGTCTTACTATTTGAGTTGAAACGGCTAAATGGATTTTCATCAAATTTTACAATATTTAAAATAAGAGAATAACTATAACTTGGAACAGTATTGAGTTAATTGGCCAAATTATAAACACAAAAGAGTACCTACCTAAGTCTGTTCAAACTGAATTTCTCAAAGCTCGTCTAAAGGCTGATTTACACGTATTAAGTAGGTAATTAAATATCGATGATGTTTTTTTCCTCTCAGTCCTTTACTATAAGTAGCCATTTTATAAAATTTTAAACTTTCGCGTTCCATTTCAAAGAGAAACACGGGTCTCACTCAACACGACATTTTTTAAATGAGTTGCTCACGGCTTGACGTTTCGGCTGCTATGCTGTGGCTGGGTATGAGGGTAGTTGAAAATATTCAAGCCCGCCCGAACGGAAGATGCCGCGAGCTGTCAGTCTGCTTGTGAGTTTCTGACCACGGCTACTGCAGCATAGCAGCACCTCATGCCGTGAGAACATTTATGTAGGTACTTACTTATTTACAAAAAAATTCGCGTTGAGACCCGTGTTTCTGTAATTTAGTAGCCATTTTGTTTTAAAGTTTTCATACTTCTTCCTTCCTTAAAACGCTATACCTACGTCCTAATTCGAAACTTACTTAAGTCATTTTTTGAGAAGTTTTACTAGAAATAATATTTAACCTTCTTCCACTTCTGCTGCTGCTGCTAGTGAGCGTTAGTTTGTTTAACTATCTTAAGTCACAGCCGGCACGTTCCTCTATAATTTGTACTTCATGGTTCAACATTTCTAGATAAGTAATTCCTTCCTACTAATATTATAAATGCGAAAGTTTGGATGTCTGGATGTTTGTTACTCTTTCACGCAAAAACTACTGAACGGATTTTGATGAAACTATACAGTATTATTGTTTATAACCCAGAATAACATATAGGCTATAATAATTTATGACGATCTGTGACAAACTGAATTTCACGCGGGTGAAGCCGCGGGCAAAAGCTAGTACTTTATAAAATAGATGTTATTAAAATAATAATTTATTGGGCACATTTAATATCGCCTTTAATACCCTATTACAAAAATATTATATCTTATCTATCTACGTACCTACTTATTAACATAATAGAAACTACGCGAGTAACTTTTTAAAAGTAGGTACCTAAGGGGCTAAGGTCAAAAAATAGAATCTCATTTCTATTTTGTGCATAGGTTGACTATACCTACCTAGTTATTATCTTGATCCTAAACGGAATCGGAAGTGATACCTACATCACGATTATATTGTCTGGAAATGAGAAGTTTTGTTAGTCATATTTCTAATTTGAAAACATTCCAGGCGCGAATTCAACTCTCAAAAAAGGTCGCGGTAACTTGCGGTCACGTCTGTGTCATAGTCACCCGAAACTCGTCAAAGCGCTTGGTGCAATCAGGTGCTAGTTACTAAGACTTTTGTTTGTATCATCAGTCTAAAGATCTAAATCGACCGTGAAAGTGTGACCTGTGTCTAATACTTGTGGAGCCGCGTTCGACTAAAAACTGTTCAGTCTTGTAAAGAGCTCAGTTACTTAATTACATAAGTAAATACATTTACACATTACAATAATACTATGGCTTTTTCAATATCACCGTATACAAATATAAAGTTTATAAAGCAAGATGACACTAGAAGAAGAGTAACTTTAACATTTATTTCATTAGCTTATCTGTCTTATAACACGCCTTCAAATTGCAAAAGTTTGAAAATGTCCTTAGTGGACACTTGGACACATAGGTAATCTAGTAATTTTAATAATAACAAGAATTTTTGAGTTAAGTTATGGAACTTATGGAGTCATTTAATATTAGTTAGATGTTACAACACAAATAAGTTTTTTTTCCACAATTATTATTATTAGTTTATTTACTTATAAAGTAGGTATATGTTATAGTTTTTTACCAGACTGCGCCAGATTATGTTTTTTGTTTAAATACCTAGTGACCTTATAAGTAGTAATATAGGTAGGTAGGTACATATTCAATCGAAAGGTAAAGGTAGTATTTTGACAAGGCGTTTAATGTCATTGCCACCGCCCACCTTACAGCCCACGAACAAGTGGTCAAGATCACTGGCAAACACACTGAGCTAAACAGCAAGTGTGTGCAGCAATACAGGCCGTGGGCGGATAACCGATTTAAAATTATCAAGTGTACTGCAACATACTCGGTCGAGTGGAAACGCGAAACAGTAAAGTAACTCTTAGATTTTTTCAAACTGTAAAAGTTAATGCGACGGTTAATGAATGCGCGTGCGGTTCTGTGCGGGTGAGCACGCGCGTGGGGCGGCCGCCACTCCAGTGCCGCCGCCGCCGCCGCGCGCGCCGCGCTCACAGCGCCCCACGCCGCCCGCCGCAGCGCCTGACGCACACTCTTACTATGAAATCCTGCGCCATGTACAAAATTACATATGTGACCAGGAAAAAACAGGTAAACCACTCAAAAAACGCATGCACCGTCGTTTCATATTCATTTTTCACACTTGACTGGTTGCTGGTTCTTGCTAATTTCTTCATTTCTCGTCGCTTGCGCCTAATTCGCAGTGTCGTTGCCAAAGAGGGAATTCTTGATAGACTGAAGTAGTGGGAATTTAAGTTGTCCGCCGCGAGCGCGGCACACGCCGCGGTAGTCGTCGGCGTTGAGCGAGTAGATCATGGCGCCGCGCAGCCCCGCCGCGCGCACGAACGCCGCCTTGGCCGCCACGCTCTGCGGGGACTCGAACGAGACCCACTCCCGGCCTCTGTAGAGATACGGTACTTTGGCCTCTACGTCCTCTTGAATTATGACGTCGTTGAATTTTTTTACAAATGTACATATTTCTGGATAGTTGACAAAGCCCATGCCTCCGAGGGAGCCGTATCCAGAAGCCGGGCTCCCCACTCTGGTGTTGCCAGGGTTCACGAGAGTGAAAGTGTGGCCATAAGTGGGTATACCGACTACGATTTTACTCAGACTCAGCCCTTTGCTGTAGTACATGTGGACAGTGTAGTTGACATTCAGTGAGGCTAGATACATTTGCTCCCCGTGCCGTGCGAATAGTGGTGAGTTAAATCCAGTGAATGGAGTGTATGTGGTGAAATAGTGAAAGTCATACGTCATAACATTCACATAGTCGGTATATAAATTAATTTGATCAATATCATAAGAAATATCAACTATTGTTTCTGGTGCAGCAACGGCCACAGTGAGTAAGTAATCTCTTTTCTCTCTAATGTATTCACGTCGGATTTCATACAATAACTGAGAAAAATGTTGTCTCTCCCGTTTGCCTCCAAGGATGAATGTGTCCAGGTGCACAGCTGGAAATTCCCAATCAAGATCTACTCCATCTAATGTATAGTTCCGCAGTAACCATTTTAGAGATCTTATGAACACTTTTCTGGATGCATGATTGATAACCATATCAGAGAAACCATCTTCATTTCCAGAACCTCCCACAGAAATCAAAATTTTCAAATCAGGATTTACTTTCTTAAGTTTCACAATATCACGTAGAGCTTGATACTGTACGTCGTCTAGATGAATTTCCTTATTCACGACCCGGGCAAAGGCAACGTTGATGTGCGTGCACAGGTGCGGGTGGATGTCCGCGGGCAGCAGCTGGCCCGTCCCGTTAGCACTGGGCGTATTGTAATAGCATGACACTATTTTCTTTTCCTCATCACTCAAACGTGGTAAAGCTCGTAATTTAGTTTTACCCAATTGCTGTCCCCGTAAAATTGCAAACGTTTTAGCACGAAAGTAGGATTTCATTGAAAAATAAGTCGGGACCTTGCTTATGATGCGAGTTGGTAATTCAGGTTGAATTAGAATCAAGGTCGTTGCAACTAAAACAAGAACTGCACCACAAGCCACAACAGTCTTAACTGTGTTCGTAATTTTACTACATTGCACCGACTTTGTATACATTAGAGCTGGTCCTTTTACTTTTTGGTAATAAACAGCACCTTTATCTAACATTTTCGTAGGTAATTGTTTTTTATTGTTGCAATATTTCACACACAAGTCTAGCGCGCACTGTCGGAGGCACGTAAACTAAATATCACCTAGCAAGTAACGGAACACACGATAAAACAATTACGTATCTTTAATTGTTATCTCAACTATCGTTGTAAGTGCTTCAAATATTAGTTTCACCAATTAAAATATTAATAAATTGAAGTAATGTACTTTGTAAACAATACAGCAGCACAACAACAAAGAGTGACGGACAGACGAGTGACTTTTTGTTTTTTAATAACAAAATAAAGTGTTGGCGATTTTAATTAGAGATACATTAACTATGTATATAAGTAACTTAATTTTTATAATGTTGTACTATATCAATTATACTCAAGTTTATTTATTTAGGTACATGAATTAAATAACGATTATTTACATGAATTGTAAATGTCAAATGTCCATGAAAGCTGCATAATAGTCGCTGTTGTTTCTTGTAGACTTAAAAACAAAAAAATAACAGTGTGTGTCAAAAAAAAATGACAACGTCAAATTTGACACTATTGACTATCGCAAATAAGATCAAGGTTGTAAAATGTTAATGTAATTTACGAATTAAAATTAGTCTTTTATAAATTTTCGGAACATGTCAATTACGTAGAAGGATCCCACGTCGAACTTGACGTCACATAGAATACGAATGCGGCTGCTAGCTATGGATAGCACGTCCATGAATCCTTACGAACAACAGCTGTATACGGTTTTCAAAACGTTCGACGTAGATAACGAGGAAGCCCTAAACAAATCGGCCGTGCTCGATCTGTGCGACGCTTTGCAGCTGGAAGACCGCGGTGCAGCCCTCGTCGGCTCGCTGTTCGAGCGCAGCTCCGACCGCGTCACCTTCACACAGTTCCGCAACGGGCTTCTTTCGGTGCTCAGCGGCGACGGCGCCTCCGCCCCCGCCACCTCGGGCGCGCCCTCCGCGCCGCCCGGCGCTCCGCACAGCGACGAGGACTCCTCCGGCCGCGAGATCGCTCCCAAGTTCGTCTTCGGTTCCAAAAAGTACGGGCGACGCTCGAGGCCTCAGCGCGCCTCTGACGCGCACGCGCCGCGAGCCGCCTCCGTGTCCCGCCTGGACGCCGACGACGGGCGCGCGCGCTCCTCGCAGCGCATGCGGGCCCGGCGCAGCGCCTCGGCCATGGAGGCGCGCGACCTCGACCCCGACGACGACGACGCGCCGGCCTTCGAGCACGAGCGCCGCGTCGACCGCGTGCAGGCCCTGGCGCTGTGCCGCGACCTGCGCATGGACGGCATCGACGGCGGGCTCGTCGACCGCATCTTCGAGGAGGCGCGCGCCGGCGAGACGACCACCGTCGGAGAGTTCTTCGACCGCTTGAACGCGACCCTCACCTCGTCCATCGAGGGCGCCGGAGAGAGCGCGCCCACTCCGGAGCCGGACGGCGCGGACCCCGAGGACGACGACGCCGGCGTCGCGAGCGAGCTGGTCGTGGACGCGTGGGAGCGCGCCGGCGTGCCGCGCCCGCGCCGCCTGCTGCTCGAGCTCGGTTTCGGCGCCGCCGCCGTGCGCCCGCCCGACCTGGAGCGCGCGCTGGACACCGAGCTCGCGGCGCTCGCCGAGCCGCTGGACGAGCGCCGCGACGCGCGCCCGCTAGTGCTGGCGGCGGCGCTGGCGCTGGCGCGGCTGCGGCTGCGGCGCGCGCGGCGCCGGGCCGACCTCGCCGCGGCCGAGCGCGACAAGCTGCGCGCCGACGTGGCCGAGGCCAACCGCCGCGCGCTGCTGCTCGCGCAGGACGTGGACGAGACGCACGCGCGATTGGAGGCCGAGCTGCGGCGCGCGCGCGCGAATTGTGCGATGCGCTGTGCGCGGGCCCGGCGGAGGCGCGCGCGGACGCGAGCGCGGGCCCGGACGCGGTGGACGCGTGCGTGGGCCCGGACGCGGCTCACGCGTGTGTGGGCCCGGACGCGGGACTGCGGACGGACGCGGGACTGCAGACGGACGAGGCGCTCGACGAGCTCCCGAAGGACCTCGCCGACACTGAGCGCCGACATGAGGAGGAGAAGCAGAAATTGTCCGAACTGGTCAAGTGAGTAGTTCGCTAAGTCCTAGCGTATGAGATGGCCAAAAATTATATTATACATTTATTTATTTATTTTTTTATTTATTTTATTTTATTCGGAAAACCAACAGCAATACAATACAAATAATGGGACCTTAAATTATGTATCTGCTTAGCCATTTATAGGTAATCGCAAATGGATAAATAATGAAATTATATAGCAGTATTATTATTATGAATCATAGGTACAAGTATAGAATTTTATTATTGATAATGAAACCATTTTTAAACATTTCTTCACTGACGATGCGAGCACATATGTAGAATTTCGTCCAATGACCCCGCGCGTGTAGCGCTCGCACACTCACTGCGGCCGCCTGTCGCACAGTAATGACAGTAATATAATTACGCGCGAGCGATAAGGATGGGCAGCTTGGGGTCATCGGACGAAATTCTATCTGCTCGGCGACCGGACTTTATGAATTTTTGGCAATTACCTTCGATCTGTCTGTCTTCGATCTGATCTGTCGGGTATTTTATCACATCGCGACGAATCGAATCCGTGCGGGCCTTTCGCAGGGAGCTGGAGGCGAGCCTGGAGGCGATGCGCGAGGAGTACGAGCGCTGCGAGGAGTACTGGGCGGGCAAGCTGCGTGACGAGCGCGCCGCCGCCGAGGCCGACGCGCGCGCCGGCGACGAGCGCCTGGCCGAGCTGCTGGCGCGCGTGGCCGACTACGAGCGCCACTTCGCGCCGCCGCCGCTGCCGCCCATCGAGGAGCGCGCCGCGCTCGAGCAGCAGGTGTCCACCACCAGCACCACCCCGACACGCGACCCACTTTTATGAACCGGCAAAACGAGACTCCCGTAGATTTCGTCGAGCGATACGAGACGACGACGCGACCGTTTCGCCGACTCGATCGATCCGACCGATATCAATCACGAAGCGGTGGGGAAATCTCACGGTCGATTTAAAATCAATCGAGTCTTTGGGCTATATTTCACCGGGAAACCATGGCGGCGCAACCAGTCACTGGCTACCAACAAAATGTATGCAGCTCTATAGAGAGTCACTCACCTGGTGTCCGTTTGGTTGCGCAAAGCTGCATATCTACATTTTGTTGGTAGCCGGCGACTGGTTGCGCCGTCACGGTGTCCCGGTGAAATATAGCCCTTAAAAGTGGCGCTTCAGAATTATCTGTGAACGCCGTCGACACTACTCCGATACGAAACGCTCTACTCCGATTTTCAGGTGGCGGACCTGGAGCGCGAGTTCGCGGCGCACCGCGAGCAGGCGGCGGCCGAGCTGGCGGCGCGCGACGCCGAGCTGCGCCGCCTGCGCGCGCGCCGCCCCGCCGCGCCCCGCCCGTCCGCGCCCTCCGCGCCGTCCGCCGCGCCCGCGCCAGGTGAGCGGGGCGAGACTCGACCGCGCGAGAGGTTCCCCAGTCAAAGTGTAGTGTGTCCCTAGTCAAATAAATTACCACAAACTGTTGTAGTGTACGGGCGGGAGGCAGTGATTGTAAGGCACCGCTCCTGTGCCCGGGATATGTGGTCAGGAAGGGAACTAACTCCCTAGTGAGCCTAGAGTCCCTATTCCCTAAGACACTAAGTGCCTAGAGCCCTAGCCCTGCCTAACAATATAATGTGCCTATAGACAGATACCCGTGATAATACACGGCTCGGAAACGTGAATTTTTTGGACAGCGTGCTATGGAAGGGGCTATGCTCGGGTTACTTCACGAAACCGTATCAGAAATTAGGAGATCCGTAAACGAACTAAAGTCGCTGACACAGCTCGACGGATCAGCAAGCTGAAGTGGCAATGTGCAGTGCACAGTAGTTTGCAGAACTGAGGCAGCAGGGTTAAAGTGGAGGCTACGTACAGGAAAGCGCATCGTAGGACGTCCACCTACAAAGTGGACCGACGACCTCATAAAGGTAAGCAGGAAGGTGCTGGGTGCAGGCCGCTACCAAGCGGTTATTATGAAATCATTGGGGTACAGGCCTATGTTCAGCAGTGGACGTCCTATGGCTGAAATGATGATGATGATGATGATAAAATGTTGCTTTATTAAAATTCCTACGCTAAAAATTATCCATTTGTATTTAATGCCACTATGCAGTCCTAGTTTAACTATTTCGAGAAAAACTCATTTTTGCAGTTTTCATACTAGTTGCTATTCAAGTAGCCATAAGATAAAAATAATACAGAATACATAGGCTTGTGATACCTTTTTAGAATCTCAATTAACCAAGAAAGTTTTTAAGGTAATGGGCACGATGGTCTTCCTACATTTTTTTTACACGACGGCTGATCAAAAGTGCAAGACATTAATGAATTAATTTTTCCTTCTTCTCTGCAATTTCTTAAAATTTTCATACTTTGAAACTAGTTTGTTGAACTTTAATCTTTTCTTTTGATAGCCCAACTATCCCTTGTGATAAGGAAAAAAACTAGATTGAAAAGTATCCTCATTTGTAGAAATGGCATGAAAAAAAGTAATCGCAGGTGGCAATTTTCTAAAAATGCACAAAAACTTAAAAATCTTGAAAACGGTGATATTTTTACTGGGGTCAAAATTGGACGTTAGGGAGACCATGGCGAGGGCTATCGATGGTTATAGGGTTATCCATTGTTTTTGGGACACCCTGTATACTTAGACATAATAAGGGTTTGCTAGGAAGGAAGCTGTGCCCAGGTCGCCCAGGGCAGCAGCGTTAGGACGGCAGGTAGGCGGCGGGGACCCGCTGCCAGCCCGGCAGACTCACCGGACTGATCATAGCGACGGCTAAGTGCCTTTTCACACGTTCCGGTTGCCGGCTATCCGGCGCCGGGTACCCGATGGTGAAGTGTATGGGCATGGTACGTAGTTTTCACATGTTCCGGCGTAATTAATCCGGCATGCCCATACATTTGACGCCGGGTAGCCGGCGCCGGTTAGCCGGCAACCGGGACGTGTGAAAAGGGCCTAAGGGTGTCTTGGCCGCAGCGGGAGGAAATGAGACACAACGACGGATGGTTGATATCTGTTTTATTGCTGTTTCTTATTGCTATTTATACATGATTTATGCTATACACAATTATAAGTATTTGCTAGTGTGCCGTCGGTGTAAAGTGCCGACGGTGCACGTTGAGGGTTCATGGGTCGCCCGGCGGTCGATGCTGACGGTGCAGCAGGATGTACGATCGTGCTCGTATATGTAGAATTGCCCGTTCATAAATTTAAAGCACACATCAAAAGCACCTTAATGAAAAAGGGCTACTGTAAAGTTGATGATTATTTAAAAGATAAAAATGTTTGGAACGTTTAACTACCTAGCTCGCATCGATACTTACGACTGTAATTTGTATATTTTAAAGACTGTAAAACCTTGAAAAGGAGGCTGACAACAGTGACTGAGTTTCTTGCGCTGCTTCTCAGCACTGGTCCATTTATTGTCCCGAAGCAGCGGGGGGGTTAATATTGGGACGTGTAAAAGCGCTTTTTTAAAGCCTATTTGCAAAAATAAATGAATTTTTATTTTTATGAAGGTCGCTGTGTTTCATGTCGTCGGTGGTTGCAGGCGCGGGCGCGTGCGCGTGCGGCCGGGCGGCGGCGGGGGTGGGTGCGGCGGGTGGTGCGGGCGCGCGGGAGGAGGCTGACAACAGTGACTGAGTTTCTTGCGCTGCTTCTCAGCACTGGTCCATTTATTGTCCCGAAGCAGCGGGGGGGTTAATATTGGGACGTGTAAAAGCGCTTTTTTAAAGCCTATTTGCAAAAATAAATGAATTTTTATTTTTATGAAGGTCGCTGTGTTTCATGTCGTCGGTGGTTGCAGGCGCGGGCGCGTGCGCGTGCGGCCGGGCGGCGGCGGGGGTGGGTGCGGCGGGTGGTGCGGGCGCGCGGGAGAGTGGCGTTTCGAACGCTTCCCGCCTCCGATTCTTAATTTTTAAGGGACCCGTATGAAAACAAAATTCCTGTTATGTGTCACATAGGGGTCTAAAATAAATAAATAAATTATATTAACTAAGATATTAAAAGCTCAAAATGCCGAAGCGCTGGCCACTCGCAGTGAATATGAATGAATAGCCTCATAGAGGGTTCATGTTTCGTACGAACGCAAGCATACTGTTTCTTAACGTGCGAACACTGCGGACTGCGGAGCTTGTGGTGACGTCAGTCAGACCAGTTTATTTCATGCTTATTTATTTATTTCCTCCGCCATTTTCCGCAGTTTGGCACCTCACGTCACACATCATTTTACCGAAGTCAGCCCTATGGCTTCGGCGCAGTACCGATCACTGACTTTTGTCAACAAAATGGTGCTTGACACTTGAGACAAGCTAAATTACACCATATTGTTAATGACATTGAACATACATTTTTTAAATACCTTCGCGAAGTAAATTTTTTGTACTATTATTCTGTGGTAATCGTAGTTACACGTCTGTCGGTTTTGCACCCACATTCCTCAGGGAAGTCAATCATGGTTCTAATGCTCCAAAAAAGTAGATTTAAAATCCCATTTGAATGTTGAGCAGTTTTTTTTTAAAACACCTCTGTTATTTTCAAGGACCTGTACGTCGAGAACTGCCACCTGGCGCACGCGCGCGCGCCCTGACGCCGCCACGCCCGGGGTCGACGACCGCCTGGGATACGTACGTCTGCTCCCATTAGTCATTCATGAAGCCTCTCTTACTGTACACTGCGAGGGCCGAAGACGTCTAGGTTTGTTAATTAAAAAGATTTATAGAAATTAAACATGACACGGAATTAAAATTGATATGGCTATACATAGCAACAGACGAGAAACGTAAATCCGAAAGGGGACCATTCAAGGCGTAGTCTTAAAATTTCGCAAAATAGGTATTTCGCATTCTTATGCCCGTTTTCACCATCAATCCCTAATTTTTATGTGACCCCTATGGTAACACGTAACAGTCATTTTGTTTTCATAGGGGTCACTTAAAAATTAGGGATTGATAGTAAAAACAGGCATTAGTCTCTGAAGGTTTGCCCGGATGCGACTTCTATCTATGTTATTTCACTTATTTCATACTATCCTAATGGTCTAACTGGTTCACTAATCGTTTGACAAACACCTTGTTTTGTTTCGCAAGCTTTTTATTTTATAGATAGCTTTTAACAAAATACAGATTCCGCAAATTTTTCTAATGTTTAGTGTTCCCAAAAATTTGATTTAATTTGTGATTTTAAAAGCTGTCCTAGCCAAGTGAAATAAACATTCGTTTACAAAATCAATATTTTGTAACATGATAAATATTTATTACTTCTTGCACGTAAAATTGCACATGGCAGACTTAATGCGTAATAGTATGTATTATCTACCAGCCAACCATTGGTTAGGCAAATAAATTAAGGCTGTGCAAAAATTTCAAAGTGGATATATTTACTTAAATTTAGATAAAATAAATAACGTAAAAAATACACCTTTAATACGTAGACATAATAAAATCGTTGTCCACAGACTGTCTAAAATTAAAAATAATCTTAAAGGTGAATTTTGATTTATCAATATCCCAACTAATATTATAAATGCGAAAGTAACTCTGTCTGTCTGTCTGTCTGTCTGTCTGTCTGTCTGTCTGTCTGTCTGTCTGTCTGTCTGTCTGTCTGTTACGCTTTCCCGCTTAAACCTCGCAACCGATTTTGATGAAATTTGGCATAGAGATAGTTTGAGTCCCGGGAAAGAACATAGGATAGTTTTTATCCCGGTTTTTGAAACAGGGACGCGCGCGATAAAGTTTTTCTGTGACAGACAAAATTCCACGCGGGCGAAGCCGCGGGCGGAAAGCTAGTACATACATAGTTGAACGATTCTGAAACGTCAAGTGGCAAAAATCGGAACTAACAACCCAGCATTGATAGTAGCGCCCTCCTCTTAATCTCATAGCTGGGATGGTTCAGCGTTGGGCAACTCACTTTTGAAATAAAAAATTGGGATTCGTCTTTTGACTAATGATGGGATACCAAGTCCCAAGTATTGAATTGATTTGTTTGACCATTTCATGTCAACTTTACCTGCAATCTTCATTGGAGGTATTA